CGAGCCAATCGACGTATTAGACAGATTTGTTCACCTGAGAAGTTGTATAAGTTAGAATGGACTCACTGGAGGTGAGATCACGTTTAGAATCGGGAAGACCATGGCGGTTTTTGCCAACCTCCGTCACCTGTGTTGCGCTGACGTGACGTGAGTTTGTCTGTCAAGGGCAGAGTTTCCACTGCGGCGGTGCGTGGGCCAAAGCCGTGCAGAGGTCATACGAAAGATGTCAGTGGTTGACCATAGGTGTCTGCGAAGCATTTCTCGGGTCTGGTGGGAACATCGGATTATTACCACTCGGGTGCCGCAGATAGTTTTCGGGAGAAGGATCTATCACGCAACAGAGTTGGACATTTTATGACTTGTCGACGAATTATAAAGACACTAGCCAGTGAAGTGTGTTGTTCGGCAGCTTTCGCCTCTCTGGATGGGGACCCTGTGACTTAGCTCATCAATGTTTAATGGCACTGATAGAGATGGCCCAATCGCACCGTTGGTGGCACTGTCGCATCAATGCTATTGCCTCCAATGTGTAGCTACCCGGTCCCCGAACTAGCCAAACATGCCATCGCCTCGAACGCTTGGCTGTATACCTCACTCTCTCACTATCCGTTGATGGAGACTGTAGCAGGTGGAACCAATGTAACCCTGGCATGCGGTTTGAACATGATAAATTGAATTGATTGGTTGTTCGATTTTGTTGATTGATCAGTGATCCTGACCATACTTTCTTAACATAGGATGATTCAGAAATGTGTGAGGATATTCCGGTCCCTAGATTCACATAGTTCTGGGCGTGCGAGGGTGTATGTTGAGCTCTCCAAGAGCTTCCATGCAAATCGAGGCCCGACATAAATGTCCACTCTCTTCGTTCTCGTTCCCCTTCGTCGTCTGTGAAATGAGGTGAAATCTGGAAGATTTTCGGAACCGCGGTGTTCAAGTTGTTTTAAAGATGGGCACTATCAGCGATTCACTCCACCCGTCTGGAGCATCTCCCTCTTCCAGATAGACCCAAATAGGTTAGATTGACACTGGCTAAAACTTTAACACTCGCAATTACGAGAAGCCTACCGCGCACAAGATTGCTCAAAATTCTGGCCTGCTTGGTGGTCTGGCATCAAGGCAAGCTCTGCTTGCTCAAAAGTGTGGACTCTACAGCCAATCACGACCCGGTATTCGCCGAATCCCTGTTTCTAATGGCATATTCGGAAATCAGCACCACACATCTGCTTCTTCCCATTCTACGCAGTTACTTCGCGCCCATCCGAGACTATGTTTACGTATATCGTAGTTCCTCGGTGCTCTCCAGGCGACGGAGACGTTTTGAGAGTTTCCTTGCAAGCCGATTATAAGGAGCACATCTCGAATCGTGCGTGATCCAGAAAGACTGCAAAATGTGCACCAAACTCTCCGGTTGGCCACAGTTTCCACTATGGCCGCGCTGGGCGCTTCTAACTCTCGTCCTAAGCATCATCATCATCATCATCGACAGCATAACATCAGTGTTTAACACCTATGCTTCACTGCCGCACAACCATGATTTATTTGAAAGACTTATTATGAAGAAAAGAGTAAACGTGGATGGGGAAGGGACTTAGTGCTAGCTTACCACAATCATTCCGAGGTGCCTATACCTCTAGACATTCACTCGGGCAATCTGGATAGAAACTGACAACAAGAACGCCACTGACATCGATTGGCAGGCATATCCTGTGGTGTCTCCAACCAGGCACAGTGAAGATCATGCGGTCCCCATCCTGGAAGGCAAGTAGCACCGACAGCACCCAAGCGTTTCGTGATCTCCTTCATACTCCTCTGTCAAGTCAAGGGTTGGCCACCTCTCTGTTTACGCCACTCTGAGTTGGGCATGGAAAACAGCACTCTTCGGCAAACAATGGTTCGGCATACGCAACACATGTCCAAAACAATGAAGCTTCTGGTGCTGACAAATTCTTCAATGGGAGTACCCGCTGCACAACCGAAAACGCGCTTTCTAACTGCCTCATTACGGATTCACCAATCCCAACCCACACGAGCTATGATTCTGAGAAAACGATTGTCGAACACCTGAAGACGTCTCAATTCCCGGAACTGGTTGCACGGGTCAACTGAAATAATCTTCAGGCATGACCGGCTTTCTGGGCCTCTTCCATTTCTTGGCTTTCTGTATCCACCATACTTCAAGATCGGCTCGCACGCTCACTTTCAATTGACGTCTGATTACTCGTCGCACCGGGCTATGTTCGGGACCGGCTGGGATATTTCCCCGAGATTTAAGCAGTGCCAGCGTTCGGTTTGATATCCAGTGCTTGGGTATGCCTGGTTGGGTCGTGCCACAAGCAAAATTCCTAGCACTCTGCAAAGAGGCGGCAAACTCGTCCCAGTATGAGCTCACATCCGATGGTGGAGCATTTGGAAGAGACTCTAGAAGACGATTCTGGTAAATTCGTCCAACATCCGGATCTGCCAGTCTACCAGTTGCCAAGCGATTTGTCCGCACATTACGCGACCCCGGAAAACATAGAGAGTAGCAACTCCGGACGAGCGCTTGGTCAGAGTCCACAAATATGTTCCAAAACGACCGGCAGTCAGTTATTGATCCGCGCCATCGGTTACTGATGGCAATGTGGTCGATTTGAGTTTGCGGCCGGCCTGCCGTTGGAGGATACCATGTGGCCAGACGACTTCGGCTATTTCGGAAGTTAGTACTATTGTCCGTACGTACCGAGTCCAGTCCATGTCGACCTCCCAATTGAGTCTCAGATGCACTGAGCCTGCCCACTTGCGCATTCATATCTCCGGCAACCACCACAATGTCTGAGCTTTTAGCTCGCCGCAGCAGAGCATTCAGGGCGTCGTAAAACCTGTCTTTGACGGTGTCAGAGCTACAATCAGTTGGGGCATAGGCAGACACGATAAACAGACGTCTATCAACTTTCCGCTTGTGAGACTCCCTTCACAGACGTTGCCAGACGAACTGCAAGGAGGCGACTATCAACAGGTATCCAGTCAAGTAAAGATACCTACGCCCGGTGACAGCGCGATACCAACTCTTGCACATCGTGCCGCAACAGCCTCTGGATCACCAGAGGTGCGCAGCCGGAAGCTAGTGGAGACTGACGGGGCGGTTAACTCAACCACTGTGCTTGCTTCTTGAATTCTCGTTTCTGAGACACAGCACACATCAATGCCAAGCGAGTCCAGTGTGAGTGCAAGAGCAGCTTGTTGTCCTGCTTGCTTCAGAGTGCGGACATTGAACGCGGCCAGATAGACTGGGTGTCGAGGCTTGAGGACTGATTTGGAGATTCCTGAAGATGTCGGCACCATGTGACGAGCAGATGCTGCACGCAAAACCGATGCATGACGAACGGAATCATCAGTCCCAAGTGCTGGGCCTACAAGGAGAGAGTTATTAATGGGGTGGGAAGAGGGGAAGAAATTGTAAGTGAAAGAGGGAGAAGGGAGGCGTCAGCAGTAGCCTGTTTTCGCTTACCTGCCCTGCTGTATGCAGCAAGTAAGGCGACCCGGCTGATGGCACCACGCGACGGCCGATGTGGCATAAGAGTATTGTTAGTCGTGAATGCCATGGTCGTACGAGGGCTGGGATACTGCCAGGGCGTCCTAAGCAGGTGAAATCGGAGCTGGATACCGCAGATAAGTACCCAAGGAGACACTTGTTCTGGAGATGCAGGCCATCGATTCGAATGAGGCGAAGCGACCAAATCGTAAACCGCGACTGTCAACGCTGTTGTGCTACAGCAGTACAAGTTTGTTTTGGGACTATTCGCCGTGCCCGCTTCAATTCCAAACGTGGAAGATCAGGGACCTCATTCGTCAGACGTCTATCCACTGGCCTACCTGCTATGAGAAACTCTGCGAGTGTTAAAGTGAACCCTCCAGTATAGCTCAGTGGGTCATAGGAAGGCTAATTGGCCTACACTTGGGAGAGCGATCTGAAACACAAATACAACACCTTGCGGGCCTTGTGAAACTTCTTCGAATTCTCCCCATTAGTTAGAATGGCCTACCAGTGGTTCCCATCCGATTACCCCAAAGAGTATAAGGGCCAGGATAGTACGTATCATCTTGGTCCTAATAGTTGAGGTAACACATAACCTTGTGGTTTGATTTTTTTGAATGAACAGTATCAACTTGCGGACTAGAAGCCTCACACACCTCGACTGTGAACCGCACATCCGAGGCTCTTTCCATTATTCACTTTCCAACCATTGGCCTTTGCAGATCTTACAAGAGCATGTTTACTACTTCGTGGACTCTTGTTCTAGCTGCTTCGAGTTATCCTTTTTACAAAATTCTGACACACTGGTCCTCTCCACCCCCTCCCACAACCGACTGCATTTAAACTTAGTTCTTCCTCAGCCCACAAACTGCGCTTGAAAACCGATGCATTCAAACCTCCTGGCCTGAAAACTTCGTTAAAAATGCCAGTAGCAGCAACCTTAGTAGATTGAGACCTCTGCTCTGCTTAGCGGTGACGTGGTGTCGCTTTCGATTCGTTCACATCCAAAATGCCTTTCGCAAAACAGGTATTTAAATCAGAGGCACTCAGTGGGTTGACCCCAAGCTAAACATATTGATGTGTCGACCTAAACGGATACAGAGGTCCTTTTGGAACATATAACTTATCGCAAATCTGTCAGAAACGCCCTCACGATCACTTCAAAGAGGAAGCATACGCTCTACAAACGGAACCCTTCACTTTTACCCAGCACTGAGTCTACGTCGATCGCACCCAAAACGGCGAGCCAGTTATGGTAAGCTATTCAGGGGTGGAGAATATTGACTGCTGAATCGTGCGGAACCCATGGTTTTCTCCTAATTTTGCTTTCCATTCGCCCTCCACGAGGCCGATTCATTCGGTCCTCAGGCTCCACCCATTCTGGAAAACCGGGACGACTGCAACGTATCATTTTTACCCGTATGAAAATTTGGCAACTTTGTGTTGAAGTCCTCTATTCGACAAACTTCTCGAATATATTTCAGCCTAAGTTCACGCTCGCGGAATAAATTGGGTAGCTGGTCAACGCCCCGTACAAGCTAGTCATGAAGGAAGAAGTTAATATACTAGGTCGGTTTGATCTCCTTTGTTCCATCAAGTAAATCGATTTGCATAACTTCAAGCCCCTGCAGGGAGAAGACCCAATGTATGAAGGAGACGGTCGACCGTCTTTCAGAGCGTACACTTTTTTCTGAGAAGGAAGCCGGACGTATTAGAGAGTATGAAGAAGAGATGCAATGCCTACTGGCCGACCGAGCCTTCCACCTGCAACAACTACAACTTATTGACTATGACATTATTCTGGTAGGTTTTGTAATAATTTCCCGGTTTCTGGGTTGACTTTTTATTATTATTTTATTTTGATCACTTTGCCTCCTTGTATCTTAGTTCATAAAGTGATTAGCGCATAAAGAATGGTTTGTCAAACTCAGTGAATAGTACTGTATTCAAATGTTTTTCTCAACAGCAACTAGGAGAATCCGGTTGTACAGTTTGGCTGTTTCATACTGTACAGCGTGGACCCCGCGCCAGGCCCTTGTAATGTTTAATCAGTTGATAGAGAAAGGCACCATCAGCACCTACTTATGGCATCTGTGCTCATTCTATGGTCTAATAAAACGGTTGGTTATTTGAACTTTTCCCTGTTGTTTATGCTTGGTTGTTGGCGCTATCTTTGCACTCGCGCTTACCTAATGTAGGATTGTCTCTTTCTGGTTACGATGGGTGTGACAATTTACTTGACATGGCAAAAATTACTGCACGTGATACCAAGTTGAAGAGCTGAACTTACGTGGGTAGTTGTCAGACGAAGGGGGTGAATACGTTTCTCATATTTTGGGGATTATAAGTGCTTACATCAATCATACCGAAAGCATGATGTTGTGTCTGCGTATTTGCCAGAATGTATTTACGTCACGAGTCACCTACAATCAAAACACTGCTGAATATATCCATTTATTCAGTTGAACGCCACTATTCGTCATGCTCTACATGACCATCAGAGAGCCCAAACTACCACGGATCGATTACAGCGCCAATGCCGAGAGCTGTCCAGCGAGATCAGTGAAGGAAGAGTCACGCTCCAACTATGTCCACTTGCGAACCATGAGAATGCTGAACCAGAGTCCACTTCCACAGCGAGCAATCAGTGAGTTTGCGTTAAATGCTCTGTTTTATTCCGATCGTTTTGGTTTGCCTTCCACTTAGTCAGAGTTGCTTCTTCAAGAGCGGTCGTGTTTGGTTAACCGAAAATGAGTGTTTAGAGGGGTAGCCAAAATACATTTTTGCCACCCTGGTATTGACCTCATTTCATCAGCATTATTCTGTGTCTATGCGCTTACACTCATGGCATTTAGGGACGGTTTTGTAGCTTTGAACGCATTGTCATCTTTCAGCAACCTTTATGTGTGTGTTTCTGTCATAAGAATGACCGTTCTAGACAGATAACTACAAGGCATACGTGTTGAAATTGTGCAAAAAGCAGGTTTGCCGAACTCTGGTGTTCAGCCCAACTACGTGCCATAAGGTCGGACTAAACAGCCAAAGCTGCTTCAAAATCCTGCTGCGCCACAAGAATGTTCACTCATCTGTAGCTGCCATTCTTGTCGTTCGTGGTTGACTTTTGGACCTTGAGGAGTAATTAACACCTGCGTCGCCATGTTGTGCTGTTTCTTGGTTATGCTTGAGAAGAAGGCGCATAAGTGTTGGTCGCTGAGAATATTCGACGTTCCGAGTTTGTAGGCTATCCACGGTACTTGCAGTACAGTTACCATGTGAACGTCCAACAACTCTGTTTCCTGTCCGGAACCCAACTTGACTCAGTCATGTTCGCCTTGTTAGGATGGTGTGGTGAGTTGCGAATTCGTTATTCAAGGTCTACTTTTCGGTTCAAGACCTTAGAGCGTGTCAGCTGCTGTTACTACTTTTTTAGGTGACCCAACTAATGTAACGCGTCTTCGTCCGCTTTCGTTGTTCACGACCTGTTTATGGATTTGTTTAACGAATCCTTCTTGTATGGTGGTCCACTGTCTCATAGTCTCCCACCTGGCATTTGGCACGCGATGTCTTAACTTTACCTTAACTGTGCCTGGGTCACATGATCACTACGCTTTAATGTACTAGATTTCTTACTCTAACCAGATCAGATGATGTTCAGGAATCATGCGGCATGATTTACAACCTTCCATTTACGGCTGTCTATCCGTCGTTGGTTGCCCTTAAGCCGGTTTCTTAATCCTATTAACAAAACGTGTCCATGTATGTGGAATTTTAGAACACTACTGTAGTACTCATCGCGCACAATCAGTTATGATCCGAACACATCCAACGATTTATTTTGCTCCGGCTCTTGTGATACCATCTTCAAACGGGTTTAGCCCACTGGTTTTCAAGCAGTTTACTGAAATCTTTGCCATTGAGGTTATTGTCCTCGCTTTCACTACCTTTTAACCTCACCACATGCATCGTTCAGTTGCTGAATGAGGAGCATTTGACTTGGAGTTTCAATGGAAAAATCGTTCAACTGTAACACCCGTTCAGTATCTAGCTGCTGTGTCCGTAGTAAGCTTGAGGGCTGAGATACTGCCAGGTTGCCTTATTCCAGACAGGAGCAGTCGGGGTTGGGTTCGGATCATGGAATCGGTTAGTCTTTTAGCCAGTATTCTACCAACCGAAATATGAGGCGGCCGTTGTGCAACACATTCAGTTGAAGAATATTATAAACAGGAGATTCAATTGAGTCTCCAATTAACCCTATCCTAATTTGTAACTGAGTGGTGGGCCCCAAAAACCGCAATAAGTATGCTACTCACACCTATGTCCAAAATATCGGGTTCCGTACATGTCAGCTACCACCTATCTCACGTGTAGTATTGCTGGTGAAAGAAATATAGTCAGACCTGTAGGGTATAAGTCCAACTGATTCCTTCCCGTTTCACGTCTACCTGAACAGTATCATTAATCTGACTCAAATGTGAGCTGAACATTCATTTCACACCAGTTAGAATTCCAATATTGTTACCTTCAGCGTCAGAGCTGGGTGGGGAACACTTGTTATCAACCAAAGGGTTGCACTGATCGGTGATCCAAACTCGGCCTTCCTCTATGAACGCATGTGGAGTGTACTTGCCGACCCAGCTTATTCACCATTGACCTATACCTTGGCAATTAAACGCCCAAAAATGGACCTCGAGGTAGCTCAGCGGTTAAGGCCCGAAATAACTAACCGGAAGATTCATGATTCGAATGCAATCATGGCTTTTCAACCGTCCCTGTCTAGACTTGGCAGTATTGCAACCCTCGTGTTCATTTCGAGTTGTACGGCAGATATGCGTCGAAAAGGTACCACAATTAAGCGATTTTTTTATCATTACCGTTGTTTTGCGCACCCTCGGAGCCAAGAGATGAAACCACTTTCTCCCTGAGGCAAGAGAACAATGTCCTAATCAATTCACCCACTCAGTCGACCGACATTGAAAAGTTGAGGAGGCTTTTGTTATACACACGATACTGACTTCGTCTTTAAATGATAACGAAACGTCCGCATTGGGCTTGATTTGATGGTTCCCTGCAGTTTTGTTCGGACGATGGTGTAGTATAGTATAAAAAGCTCAGCTTGCGTTTTGGGGTTTCGAAAGAAATTTAGTGTTTGCAAAAATGCTTTTCGTCCGGAGGGATTATTGTCTGTTGAAATGTTACTTATGGAGGCACCTCTATGAATGAATTAGCGTCGTTTCGCTGGTCTTTTTTCTAATCTCTCCTAATAAAATTTCCAATGGGGATTTGTTGCTTAAAACTACTCGGGACCTTCTAGAGTTAGTAATAAAATGCGTCAACGCGCAGTTCCAAACGGCAGGGGCGAAATTCAAGCAACTTTGAAATAACAAAAGATATGCGACATTCGTGCCTAGGCATTTCAACTGCCGTCCCGCCTGAGCTAGGTATAGTGCCAATCAGCTAACGGGGATGCTAATTTTTGACGAGCTATCAGTCATTGGTTTATGTTGTAGCCGCCGAGTGCGCCTTGAAGCCGGACTATGTGGTACTTATTTTTCGGCCTAGGATGACAATCTCAGCTGCTGTGGATGCCGGTCACGTTGGTTCAGACTTGTGTACCGATCCAGTAACGCTCGAAATCTCCATTTCTGATAATCACACACAACCGGTAACGACTACTCCTACTCCTCCCGGCTACGGAAACATAGCTCACTGTAGTCGAGCTTGCGAGGTTATACCAACTACCCAAGCAGCAGATGCAGCCAGTTCCGCGGCAGCTACATCCAACTCGATTAGTACTGGCTATTTCGCGGAACGGCCACTGAGCAGTGAACATCGAGACAACGAGGGTGAGTCATGAGATTTTCGGAAATCTATCAGTGTTTCTCGAGTTCTTCGTTCTTCTTTGTACCCTTCTCATACTATCACTTTTCTAACGTTTCTGATTCATCCAGCAAATTCTCAATGATACTCTTCCAAATTTGTACAACCATGAGTGTATGGATGTTTTGTCACCAACCCGCAATTCTATTGCTTGTATATAGTGAACCACTCATTGTTCTTTAAACCGTAGGTCCTTTCGACGACAATCCCAATTTCCTCTATTGATATCCTAATATCTCCGACGGACAACCTTCGCCCTAATTTCTTCGCTTCGTAGCGGGGCGTTCTATTTTCCGTACACAACTCTAGATAGACTAACACAGCTTTCGACGGGATCTGCAATATTCCACTACGTTCATTTCTCTGCTCTATGCTTCATCGCTGGTGCATATTTTCTCGTTATGGTTAGCGGTCAAAATAACCACGTTGTTATATGGAGAACCCAGGTAGAAATACTTCTACCCGGTGGGAGTGTTATGGCTTCCAACGGAGATGCGGTACTCACTGTTCATCAGCTCCTACAAGACTAAATAACGGCTTTCTGTACAGGCTCGTAGGCAGCGGTAGTGACAAGCTTCGTCGAGCGAACTAAGGAAAGTTACAGAAACCTAGAGCATCACTGCCACGGTAGCCGCATACAGCTTACCTATGAAATGACCTTTTAGATGGACTAACTAAACTGGACCATCCTGAAAGTCCGCTGACAGGGAAGCAGTACCGTTGGTCCTCAATGGGCCATGCAAATATAAGAGGATGAAACGGATACTAAACAGTTGGTGACCTTCGCTCCGCTCCGTCAAGGTACTAGCTCGAACTAAGGCAGAACTATGCGGCGGAAATTAACTGGATCAAGCGATCGAATCCAGCTCGTTTACGGGATTTACTCGAATGCCTGGTGCATCTCATACATATACAGAAGAGGAGAACTTGTCAGATGAAAATTCTTAGTTGACGGATGGGGACTATAGCATGTGGTTCTGCAAGCAATGTAAATCGAGTCACTCGAACGTAGTCTCTCAAGCTGCTCTCTGGTCATGGGATTTTCGTAGAATGCCTTTCAGTGACACACCAGTTGCTTATGCTCTTCGTAAAGCCCGTTGTAAGAGTTTCATAAACGGTCGTTTCAAGTGTCTATAGGGCAATACAGCTCAACGGGTAAGCTACTAGCCTAATGTTAGTTCGAAAATGGTGTTCGAAAATTAATTGTTGGATTGAGACTTCTGGAAAAAACCTTGGTGGCTCATGCATGTGCTTCCATATTTGTTATGGCGATGGTCTAAAAGTCATTATTCATTTTAGTCATTTATTCGTCTACCTTCAGACAGTGACACGAGTTTGCTTGGTACCGATTAGGTAAGACAAGTTGGAGTAAAATCGGCGTTTTTGCCGTCTGCACAGCACCAGCTGATGAGGCCACTTTACGTCACCCATTTCACATCTTCACTTATTACATAGTTCACATGTAGGGCATTGGTCAGCGTGGCAGAGGCTTACCAGTCCAAGAAATATGGTGACAACAGATTGAACGTTGTGTGAGCAACGCTGACATCGAGCATCAGCATAGGAACAAGATAAGCTGATTTTAATAAGGGGTGCTTGACGTTTCATATACAGTGAGCACTCATAAAGTACCTAATCATGGCGTATGGCCAACAAATATTGGTCAGTATCATCACAGTCATATCCTGAGCACATCAAACTCCTGAAAATCAGCATGCAGGTGTGAATATATTCGTTTATTTATGTGGCCCAGATTTAGACCACATGGCACCCATCATACGGTTTTCGCGCTTGTTCACCGACCTCGATCCTCCCAAACCTCGTTTTTTCGGAATTAGAGGTTTCTTGTTTAGGAGGTCTACGATTGATGGGCATTTCCCCGGCGCGCCTTCAAAGAGGAAGCGTACACCACATCAGGACGTCAAGTGTGGGTTCCTCTTTCTCACATCTAATCATTCGTATTAACTTGGACTCTTGTTTCTCTACATGGGGGCCATTTCTGATACGTTTGGTGGTTCCTTCGTTTCATCCTTCAGGCCCGTCAAACCCACGCTCAGCTGAGGCCGTCCCAGACATCGACCGTGCATTTTATTTAGCCGGTAGCCCGGGTTTCGCAAACGTTCGGGAGCGCTTCTCGGCAGAAGGTGCCTCGTGGTCGCAATTCAATTCTCCATCCGTTCATCCTTCCTTCCACTGCTCAATGGATGCGCATTCGATTGGTCAGTCTCCTCCAATGAAAACTTGCCAGTCTTGTCAACAGCTTATCCACCGAAACGCGCCAATCTGTCCTCTCTGCAAGACAAAAAGTCGCTCGCGTCATCCCAAGCGAACCAAACAAAAATTAACACTGCACCAAAGCGCTGATTCTGCTTTTGGTTTGTTCAGCTACCCGCCATCCAGCCTGGCCGACTCATAGTGCCATATACCTTTTCCTAATATGGTCATGTTATTGTTGTTCTCAATCTCCACATGTTCTTTATCCTCACTTTGTTTACAACATATTTCCCTGAATAGTGCTAATTAATCTTTTTTCCGGATATATCTTGATGTTCGCTACCCCGCAGCACTGACCAGTTTTTTCTCGTAATAAGGGGTCGCTGTATATCAGTTTGCTTTACAGGCACCAAACCACGCCATAGTTTCGTTCACTGACATCAGTCTTACTTATGAGGCAAAACACACGTCGGTTTTGCTAGCTCGCACCAAGTGACGTGTAAATGGCAAAAGGAAACCGAATGATGCCAACTGTTTGCTTAGTTATGGGACTAGATGGTCGGTGGAGGTGGCGAGCTGTACAGACAGGGGATCTCTGGAGTTCGCCGGCATGGGGTTGTGCTCTCCTCGTTCTCAGTTCTGAAACGTCAGCTTTTCACAGTGGTGTGGGATGTACTAAAAATTAAATGGGGGGTTTCAAGTCCGTGGAGCGCTTTGCTTGTTAGGTAAGCTGTATTATATTTTAGGGCACCGAAAGCCAGACTCAGGCCCAGTGGGTCTCAACAGGTATATGCATTAAAAGTCGACGATAAATACCCTTATAAATGAGAAATGCACCTGAAGCTCAGTTTAACACGTTAGGTGTGCAAGTGAGTGCTGCATTCGACAGTGTACTTTCTGATATACAGGTAAGAAGCTAAATTGAAAATCAAGGACTGAAACCAGCCAAATAAGTGACGTCGGTGGTGGACTTTGATATATGTCCTTTGAACCTCCCAGACTACTTTGGAAGGTGCGATCCATGAGTATCATTCAGGAAACTCTGAGACAGTTTTGTGCTGTCTATACGACTGAGGAAAACAGCTAGTTTGCAAGTTAGTAGCCGGTGTCAGTAACACTAGCAAGGAGGCTGCTGTTTCACTAACTTGGTCGAATTCATGGGACATTTATATTTCCTGGTTTTAGCAGAGCAATCGGTCGGAACAGCTCGGGTGCGTCACCTGGCTGTTGACCAGGTGACAACTGATCTGTTCGTTTATCTTGCGGGCGTTTCGCCACCATCCAGGGAGAGCGCCATTCAATTGCGAGCCGACGATGTCTCCTCGAATGGTGACCAAAAGTACATCGGAGACAGCGGCCTCCTTAGTCAACTGATATTGAAGTTTTAGCTTTCTGATTAAGTGGAATCTGGCGGTACGCAGTTAAAACGAGAGCTTCGGTGCATGAGCGCCGCAACTGCAAGACTGAGTTGTGTTCATTTTTAGCGTCCATAGGTAATGTCCAGGGAGGCAGCAGTTATTGGCCTAGGTGAATTACCGATTATGGTTGTCGGGTCATAGACCGTGCGCCTTTCCGTTTTCCTCACTCAATGTGTGGCCTGGCGAAAAAGGCTCTGCTTCTTCTTCTAACATGCAAATAACAGTCCAAACAGCGTAGTCCGTGGAACGAACTGAGAAGGGATTTAGTCAACATGGATCTAGGAGCAGGACGGAGTCTTCCATCAGGCCTTCCCAAACGGCTTCAGATTCTCACACGATATCTTATTATACACTATAGAATAACGAGTATTTTCTAGGAAATACTTTTTCCTCGGGCGCTTTTGAGTTAGCTTGTCTTCCAAAGACAATCCTACAGGAAAACCTAGGTATGCCCGTAGGGATCGATGCAGTGCAGATGATAGACACCGTTACCATGCCCGTGTGAGTCGCGTGTGACTCATCATCCCAATTTTCTCGGTTGAGTTGCAGTTTGTAAATAGCTAGAAGACTACGTCACGGACGGTGAAGCAGATCGATGAAGAAAACCTGTCACTTGCATTCTGACATTGTGATATTACACATTTTCTAGTTGGAATGTTTTACAGTAGAGTAAGCCCTTGGAAGTTAACGAACATGTGGTTAAGAAAACTTCATAATAGGTACGGCAGAGTACTGCGAACGGGATCCCACTGCTGTCGCTGAAAAGGCACACAGCATGTTTAGCTCGTCTGGTGGTTCGCACCACAACTACTGAATAATTTGTTGTAAGGGGTGATCGTAGCTCTATGGTTGTTGGATTTTAGTCTCCGGATGCAAGGTGCTGTTACTGTGTTGAAAAAAACAAGTATGTCCCCTCGATCCGGCACAAACTTCTCCGTATCGGCCGAAGGACGTAGAAGAAGCTTCGAGTGAGGATATGCGACCCATAATCCCGCATTCTCATTTACGGACAAATCAATGACTAGTTAGACCGGGGACTTCAGCCTTTGCGCTTTTAATGTCTTCTTCCAACTTCTAATTGCTCAAACTGTCATTGTGACTCGTATCCAACAAACATTCAATACTAAAGTCCCGACCTAAAGCTGCCACCTTGACGTGGTGGTCGGGCTTCAGTGCTGCAATGATCCCGCGGGCTACACTGGCTGGAACTTCGTTCCACAAGGTGCAACCATGCCAGGAAGGCCAAAGGGGAGCAGCCAGAACAAGAGCAGCGAGACCCCGTACTACGAGTAATCGTGCTACGAGGCGGTCTGGGGGTAAAGTCGTACTGTCCTCTGCGATAGGAGTGTGAAGGCAGTAAGGTGTTTCCCCCAGGCGACCAGCATGTCCATATTTACGGGAGCAGCGATGCTGCCTTCCCCTGAGGAAGGACGGGTTAGAAAAGGTCGGCCCCAAAAACCGCACACTCCGATCGCCTAACGGTTGACGGTGACCGCCGGCGCATTATCCAATACGGTCGAAATACTTTTAAAACCAAAGGGCCTGGTGCTGCTCAAAAGGCACCTGCTGTGCGCAGCCGCATCAGGAATGAGACAGTAATGCCTTATTCCCTGCGCCCTCGGCTTAGGCCAACCCCTGTAGCCGAGCAGGTCAGACTGTTGAGTCGTCGGCTGCGGTAGGGTCCCCAAAGAAAACCCTACATTTTCCCACTGCCTCGTGGGTCAGACTTTTGAGTCAGAGGTTAGGGTCAGGGTCCCCGAACAAAACCCTACGTCTTCCCACTGCCTTGTGGGTCAGACTTTTGAGTCAAAGGCTCAAGGTGGGGTACTTCAACCAAACCCCCTTCCTCGGCCTGGGCAACCGGGAAGTATCATTTGCCCGCGCAGTCCAGCGTCCACCGACGTCCCTCCCCGATACTAAAGTGGGCGAATTTAAGATAGAGGGGATGTACAGCAGTCACAACTTGAGGGATAGGATGGTACTTAATACTGATGTGTAGCTTACAAGTCCAGCAGATTCGCTGTTAACGCATCATGTTTTCCGTGAGGGGGTGTTACAGCTCGAGATAGCTAGGTAGCTTAGCTACTGATCGGGAGGTTTGTGGTTTGAACTCAACCCTGGACTTCCATTCACTCCCACCTAAGCTTGGACAACCTCGTGGTAATTCAGTGTTCTTGCTTCTTTCGAGCTGCACGGCAGATGCGCATTGAAAGGATACCACGGCCGGACGATTTAGTTCAGGGGGCGTAAACTCAAGCATGTGAAAACATGTAACTTCTGCGATAATCGCAAGAGATGAGTTAGCACAGCAGCAGGATATCTTGCGTGAACATATAGTAAATCCTGCTTTTAGAAAAAAACCTATGTAACTCCAAAGAACGTGAGCAATTCGCATGTAAATCAATAGGACCGGATTTAAGCTTTCAAAAAATGTCCATAACACTAAAGAAGCCGAAGACTGATCGCGATTAAATTATACGATCATCCCGATTTCTGCTGTTAGCTTGACGGAAGACCCGTAATTCGCATGCGGATACTGCAGCTATTCAACTAAAATTCAGATAAAGCTCCTACTTCGTAAAGTCGTAGTCCCTTGCGTCAACTCGGTTCCTATGTCTCGTGCGCTATGAGGCCCAGCGAGGGAACAGACTAAAGGCCGTACAACCTATTGGTAAGTACAACAAGCCAACATCACGACTTGGTATGCTGAACAGGACAAATCTTCCTAGTCCGCTAAAAGTCATTCAGTTTAGCATTTCTGTTATCTTGCATCCGTCCTGAACGTTTGCGCCTGAGTCATGCGACATTCAGGCTTTAACGTTTTCCGTGGTGAAACACCTGATCTTAGTGTCGACCTCGTGGAAATGTCACTGCCTTCGGGTAACACCCACAGAATGCAAGACCTTGATAACAGTATACCAGAACGGACGTTGCGATGCTACTTTAAACAGCTAACGAGTGAGTACCAGAGTTACATTTGCTCCCAACATAATAATCGCCTTGGCATGTGTCACATGCAGTCGGTCAGGTCTCAGAAAGATATGTGCATCCTATCGAGAGTATTTCCGTAAGAACCGTAATTGCAATATGGCTGAAATACAAGATATTCATCACACTGCCTGGGCTCCAAAATTCAATGGTGTTTATCGGTTGCAACCGATGTATTGCAACAACTCAGGTGATATGATACTCCTGGGTTGTCGTGTTGGCCGTACGGCTAGGAAGTTAGGCTATCGCACTGCAAGAGTCCGGGGAAAAATGAAAACCGAAATTGGTAGGTATCAAACACCTGCAGTCGATCTCTAGTTGAGTGCACGATCTCCACATGAAAACGGTTGTTTTCAGTCGACCATCGCCCAAGTGGAAGTTGAAAATAGGAGTGGTTATATTTGGTTTTTCTTTGGTCATGCGCCCTATTTAGAGTGGTGCGGCTATATTTTTGCAGGCAGATACATATTTCACTGTTTATCAGCCTGTTGTTCTTATGGGTTCTTCATGTGAAGCAACCGAAGTCGTATCCTAAAAAGGTCATAGCAGAGTATTGTGGGTGCATGCAAGAGGTTTCTCATTTGTGCTAATTCGCAAATTATATCACCTCGTTTGTACAACCTTGTGTCCCCACACGGCAGCGCGTGGTGCTTTTGGCCAGTGCCACTTATCATGTCATCCCTCAAGGTATAGCTACTCGATGTTTCTTCCCAGAGTCACCCATTTTAGTAGGGAACCACCCATCGAGTAGACGGAATTATATGAGTTCATCATCATCATCATCATCATCGACAGCATGACATCAGTGTTCAACACCGATGCTTCACTGCCGTGAATCGCACATATACAAATAAACATATATATGAGTTCACGCAGTAAGAAGTCGACAAAACAGAAGTGATAGATTCGAAGAATGATGGTACTCCATGTTCAGACACGACTAACACAATCCGCATCCTCCACCGCAGAAAAATTGCCGGATGGCAATAACTACGGGAGACGAACAAACCGAAGCTAGACCCAGGGCCTTAAAGTGAAGAGCTTGACGAGGCTCCTACCGCTTTGGGCAGTCATAGGCGCCTGGACGACAGCGAGGGCGACCTACCAACACAAAACAACCACTCTCATTGCAACCCAGGGTCAATTTGTTGGTGATCTTAACCCAGCTGTTTGGAATACTTGACCAGACAATAGCGCCACTCTGTCGTTCCCGATTTCCGGTAGTTTTGTCCCGCATACACTGTCGTAACTATCTCCATAAATACATGACTTAAGGTGACATTACCGAATACGCGTTTGTCGACTCGTTTACTTTCTGCCTCGTTAACCGGGGGACGCTATCAATCAAAACGCCCAGTACTCCTAAAACGATGCTGTTTTTTCGTCACGGCGATCCCGTCCAAGATTCTATCATCTAAGAGCGAATCCTTCCAGCAAATGAAAATAAGATTCCGATTCCACTTTTGGCGCTACACAGGGCCCCTGTAGAGACCACAACTCCTGAAAAAAAAACGCAATCAGCTGATTGGAAGAGCAGTCATTTTGTCCACAAGTAGGAAGACACCTTGGCCTTTTCTCAAGTCACACCCTAAAGAAAATTTGTCATTATCATCACTGTTGTTTAAGTTTAACTGACATAAATCCCGATGCATAGCTTAAATTGGAACATGAAACTCAGATGAAGAGAAGCTTACGACGAAAGCGGTCTGACTGAATCCGGAGGAATAGCAAGTCTTTGTCTTTTATTACTTATTTTAACTGAGAAGCGTTCGCGATTGTATTGAAAGCTGACTTTGAAGATCTCCATCGATTCTGCTTCGGAAATGTTGTGCCGCTCCAGATCTGCTCACCATAGTAGCTACATGATCATCTTTGTCCCACAGTCCACTAAATAACTCAACCACTGCCTCATTGAAAAATGGGAGTTTGATTCGACAGTCATTCCAGTACAGAAGAAAATCGTTCAGCTGTAGCACCCTTTCGGTGCCTAATTGCCATGCCACCCGAAGGAAGCATGAGGGCTGGGATGCTGCTACGTTGCCCAAGTCTAGACAGGAAAAGTCGAAAGGCAAGGTCGAGTTCGAACAACAGACATTCCGGTCAGTAAATTCGCGCTCTAACCGCTGAGCCATCTCGTCTCCAGCATAGCCAGAATCATAATGAATAAAGCGAGTAGTGGCGACGCTGAGCAAAAGGGTCATTATCGACAAATGCTCTTCAACATGGGTCAGAAGAATTGAAATTCACGATCGGTCTTTAACAATTTTAGACCATATTGTCCTAGAAGAGGTAGTGAAGCCATCTGGATACGGATAGCTGATTCTGTTTGGTTGTCTACATTAAAAAATGAGCTCCTTGTAGTAAAAGTTGACCGGCGTTCCATGAAGTGAGTGGCTGTGTAACTGTTTTATACACTGTACAGATTCATATAACAGGGCTTAAGCCATCGACTGACTTCCACTGGCACATCAAACACGGGTCATTTGCGCCCACCCTGATGTTAGAAAAATGACGGGAGAATGATGAAAACTTTATGGAATCCCGCAAAAAAGCGAAATTTTGATCAAAAAATTAGGATTGGGAAGAAGGGCCCACATTGATCTTGCTCGGGTCAAATGGTGTCCCACGGAATGGAGAACCCTCCACATCCCAGGCTTTGGCCAGTATATCATGAACTTTCTGCAGTGAAAAACGGAAACAGTTTAGAATACGGGAATTGATGCAGAAATAAGCTAGACAGAATGTTGCATCCAATAGGAGAAAGTAGGAGATAAATACAAGATGGTGCCATTGTAGCCTACAGTTTTTTTTCGAATTCATGACAAAACAAGTAATTTTGCAACTGAAAAAGAATGGGACTTAGGCAACCAAGGATAGGATGAAGGGCCATCACACCAACCGTGTTTACAGGGTTCATGTTCGTACCATTGTGGTCAGGCGACAGTGATCCAAACCACAGACGCCAATGGACGCCATCGGGTTGATTAACAATGTAACCTTGAGACTACCTACACTAATGACAGAAGCCGACATTGGAACAACCATCACTTCCTCAACGACTTTTAGGACGATTATGCAGGATTTCATGGGTTTCTACACTGATTAATCCTCATTTTAGAGCAAGATATCACTTGTACTCGGACAAACCTAAATGGAAATGGGGATTCTGAAACAAAAAACGAGAGCTCATCAAACAAACAAAACAATAGTTTTGACTCAGCGACCACAACATCTGGCTGGTATTAGGGAAATTCAATTCGAGTTGCATGATGCCGACATTAGGAGACGATCTCTGTCAAAGAGCTAAAAACATTCCTGTTGTTTTCCACAGCGGGGAAATTTCACTTCCCAGGAGAGGTCAAAATGATTCTTTCCCATAGTGAGAGTGGGAGAACTGTTGTGAACAACTGATCCGGCAGACTCTCACAAGGCTCCAAGGTAGCCCTCCATTATAATACCATCGCACTAGTAAAAAAGGAGCTATATGCCTGGGAAGCCAAACCACAACACTGCATATGGCTATAGTCACGAGACAAATAATGTTGGGCCCAAAGGTACGACCCAGAATCTTTAATAGGCACCCGTCATTTTCTTCCTGATCAGTGTGCATGTGCGGCGGGAGCCCTGTACTATTGACTGAATGATTTGTAGATGATAAGAGGGCGCAGGAGGACGATTTCAGACAGGTTACGTGCTGATGCGTCCAGTGGACGAACAGCAAGGTTGCCAGTAGACGGTTTCAGTGGAAAGTACTGAAAAATCATTATCACATAAGGACCTATTGACGGTTGTTCTGAAAGAGCATTCAAAGACCAGTGACAGGGAGCCTACCCTCCATCTAACGGAAAAATCCTCTCATTCGTGGAAGGTCTCACAATGTTGGCGTATGATGTCTGTCGAGCTTGCGAATGCTCACCTTTTAAGTTTCGGTCAAAACAGCTAAAGCGGCGTTGGATGCCCTCCTGTAAATCAACAGACCGTTGATAAGCTCTCCGGTCCTGCGTTTATCGGGGCCACAGGGTATTCAGATAGTTCTTACGCAGTGAAGCATGTGTCAACACCGAAGTTGCTGTACTCGACTGAGGATGATGATTAGGACAGCTAAATGGGCGTATCAGTGCACAGTATCCTATGAAGGAGCTAATTGGTACAGTCCACTTTAGACCCCCAAACGGATATCGAATGCGAAGATGCTTCAATGAGAGAATCCCTCTGCAGGGTGTATTGCAGATGTTTCCAGAAATCAGTTGGGCCACGTTGAGTTACTACGTTGAGGTACTAATGTGGCACTATGAATACAATAATTGAAAAATTAAATAGTACAAACCCCAAGTCATGGGATTGCGCCGGCTTTCTAAGCAGCGGTTTAGGAACCGCTAACTTCACACCGATTCAAGGCAAGGTGGCCACAAGATGGCGGAACCCACGTGTTGGTTTGAACAAGAGGAGTGATGATAAGATCAGAGCGGTAAAAACAAGAAAGGCGGTAAATGCGTAAAACATAAACAATAAAACGGAGAGTCACGTTGCACACAATCAGAATTGAAGAAAAGGATCACCCGTTTCTACCTCTTCCTCTTCCAAAAAGAAGCCTCCTGTAAAAGAGCTCAGACCCCTTTTCTCATTGCTTTTTTGCTTGAGCCACAGCAACTAATACTGACCGTCTTGGGGGTAATTCAGAGTCTTAGGAGAAGTCCGTGAAAACCTCGGGTTCGAGCAGGACAGCTACCAGCTAAATGATCCAAACATGGCGTTGATCAAATTCCGATAGACGAGTTAAAAACTTGGAGAGAAATATGATATTTCACTCGAATTAGATAGCATCTACGGACCATGGTACTAGGCTGTGTCCCGAATGCTCGACGGGTGAGTAAGATCCACCAGCGATCAATATAGAATGTTATCTTGTCCAGGACGAACCCATCAAGTCCACCATGCATCGTTTCGCACAATGTAGGCACTATCCACGGATCGCATTGCGTTACGAGAGTACCTGTGCTCAATATGTTGGTTTTATTACCTCGCCCACAACGGATCAGAAGCCACTGTCTCTAACGCGCTTGCATCATAAGCAACGAAGAATGCGTACAATTCTTGCAGAAAAGTTCGAAATGGTCGATGGACGAACTAACGCACCTTCTCTTCGCTTGTGGGCAACCCTTTCCGTTTACATTCCTGATCGTACATCAGTTGGTGAATTTTCGCCTGAGACTCTTCGTCTAGTTCGTGCATCGGTCGGGAGCAGTCGATTTTCCGTGTATTGATCTTATCTTCACCTTCGAACGCAGCATCCCACCAGCGCTCCTCCACTTTATCCAAACAAAATTGTACCTGGAAAGTGAACGGAGTAGATTGTTGCGAGAATAACATGGAAATAGTGAGCGCTATCAACATTACCATCTCATGAGCTTTAAAGCAGTACCAATTTATGGAAAGCTGTGGCCGATTCCACTGAAATTCATCACAGCAGAATAACGGAGGGACAACAAAACTACTAGCCCACGTGCAGCATGTTTCGGGTAGGTATGGGGAGTGAAAATGAAGACGAGGTTTCAAGACGCCATTTTTCAAGCCTTCAGAGTCTTCAATTTGACCAAGTGAGTCTCCCGTCAAGACCCAGTTGGTATGCAAATGAGTGTAGTTCGCTAATTGTAAGCTGTTAACAGGACAGTAAGGAAGAGGATTACTCATTCACATCTGTCCGTCACGGACAGATATATATTTCATATTTCGTAACATTGACCATTTGCCTCAGATCACTCTGACTGGTTTGTCTCTTCCGCTAGCATTTCAATCGAATAGTCATTTTCGCGGCCACTTGGGTATGTTTACAAGTTTTAATCTATGCACGATTTTCCACTGGGGCGAGATGGGCCCAGTGGTTAGAGCGCGAATTCACTGTCCGGAAGGTCCGTGGTTCGAACCCGACCTGTGCTTCTCGACTTCCCGTCCAGGCTTGGGCAACCTGGCAGTATCCCAGCCCTCGTGCTTCCTCCGGGTAGCACGGCAGCTAGGCACAGGAAGGGTGTTACAGCTGAACGATTCCACTGGATAGGTCACATGGAGCACCTATACATCCAACAGCAGTCAAAGCAGCTGCGTTGGCTTGAAAGCAATGTTGCACAGGTTTGTCACTCCTGAGCTACTTACTGACTGATATTCATACAGCGCTCGAAGATAGTGTCACAACAGAAGACTCGAAGGCACGCACTAGTAATTGGTAAAGGCTCGGCTAAACCTCCCGGAAATGTGAAAAAAGGGCAAGGAGTTCAATCAATTGCTAAATGTGCAATAAAGCTGCATAAACGTGCAACTAAATCTACTCACCTGGCCTTCTTCCGGATCAAACGTCCAGACAGCATCGTCTGTCGAAATCTCCCAACAAAGTTCACGGTAAAAGTATGGTTCTTCGTTTCCACTGGGCACGAGTACGATCCGAATGTGCTTGCGGTCAATCGCTATTTTCAAGTCTCGTCCTGTCTTGATTCTGTTTGGAACCTGAAGTTCGAAAAAACTCAGCGGATTCAATAAGGATGAAAAACCTTCACTTTGATGTCCACATCCTTAATGGACTGACTCCAAGTGTAATTTTCTCTTTCTGCGCCATTATAACAGTCGGGGTCAGCCTGATAAACTAGAGGGCCTTCCCTGAGAACCGGCAGATAGTGATCAATAATATCGCTAACCTACTCCTCCGTACTCTCCCTGGTGGATGTTTGTTCTGTCGGTTTCGAATCACCCGGAGAATGCTTCTCCTCTGTGGCCGCTGTGGTCTCTTGCGTCGAATCAGGAACTGGGACAACGAAGTTATCAGCGGAGGCTGTTTCCGTGGTTTTGCGATCCACAGTTGGAGGACGGCGTGAGATGGCTTGTTTCTTGGATTTGGTTGACTGAACCTTTTCAGCCACGGCCTCCATATGCTGTCGGTTATATTCTTCAAACATTGATTTGTAACGTTCGAATGCCTTATAATCACAGACACCTAAAAGGTACTTTATACAACAACTTACTTGCAAGACCATCCGTAGATTAACCCCAGGAGGAAATCCGAGTTTCTTCTGCTCAACGGTCATAATGTGATAAAAGTCGGTCCTGAAGATTTGAGTCCATTGGAACTTTGTATGCAAATAACTTACCGACGCATCAGGAAACCAAATATTACATCAAGAAATTTTTCAATTTTGCCTTCGTGTTGAAGGATTGCAAGAAGAGCGCTATCATAGGCAGGATTCATTGTATATGCTGAAAGCGAAATATCGTTGTCTCAAAGCAAAAAATGCCGGGTCCCTGCTTATATCACAGCACGAGTGATCTGGCACTAGTTGAGCTCCTACTCTTCTTGGTTATGCACAGAAAGAATGCACGGCAGAACGGATTGATATGACGTGTTACTATGGAGGGCTTTGCAAAAAGCTAGCTAGTTATACTATCAGGTACGGTTTGATCGCTGAGGGTGTGGTATCGTTGCCCATGAGCAAGAAACTTGTATCCAGTTACCCTATATCACCGGTACCGATACAAGAAAGATGGATGAGTCAAACTAGGTACCAAGTCGTTCTTTATAAAAAAAGAACCCATATCCATCTAACATATACGCCTAGAATCCCAGTAAAGAGCTGATAAGAAGAGCTTAAATTACATGCTTTGTCAGCATGAAACCAGTGATTGTCGTCCGGAGAGGTCCCACAAAAGGGCCTATTGAATTCTTATATGGCACACCGGGGGTTATTGCAAACAGGCCAGATCGTAACCTATGGTGAATGATCATCCGATGAAAGACACTTCTCATAATTTTAACCATCTGTGTCTGCATTTTGTATTGAAAGTAGCTGACATTGATTCCTTTCCCATGTGCACTGGTTTTGCGCGTGATACGAAAGGATTCAACATCGATGAGACGACTGTGAGGTCGAAAGTCAACGGATCACCAAGAATTTGATGACTGGATATCTCTACAGTCGTTATGACAAGCAATTTAGCTGACAATACTACCCGGGAATCTGACACACATCGAATATGCTATACTGGTCTCAGATGGGCTGAGAGTAAATGCAGACATTAAACAAAAGCGACCGCAATTGAATTAGCCACATGAACCCCACCCAATCGGACGGATGCTCACCGGATTCAGGGTGCGTTCGTCTGCACAAAGGAGACTCTTGCAGTTGCCACCAAAAGTAGTACCATGGTGGTTCGACGCAGCGAACAAGAAGCCAGTCAGGGTAGCAAAGATATACTGATGGTCAAATCACACCCGAAATCCAGAGGAAACGAAAGGCGACAGAAAAAATACTTGGAGGGCGAATACGATTGACACTGTGGTACTCCACTCACTGCAGACAGCAGCCATCGAAGTTTTCGTATTTGGGAGTGTAAAACAGAAACAAAAGTCCGATACAACTCGGACTTCAGGTGGGCGATGAACATTTCATACGGGAATAAGCTTGAAACCATCAAGAAAGGGTGCACGCAAGTGTGTTGTAATTTTGATAGCACTAGCAGTGAATCAGATTCTGGTTCCATCCACTAAGATTCTACGTAAGAGCAGAATAGCTGTGATAGGACCATGTATGCAGTTGAGGGGACAGACAGTTGTGAATCAACCGTAATTGTCTCCAGAGGGAGAGAATGCAAGCTACGTATAGGCTTATCAGACAGAGTAGCAGGATTACTGGGGGAAATTTGACATATTTTCGTCGCCAAAAGATATATTCATCATCATCATCATTATCAGCTGTAATAACCGCGTGCTCGTCGTACAGTGGTTGCAGCTGCCGCAGTTTCGTTCACCGATGATTTGGGGGAGGGGGT